TCCTCTAGATGCAGCCACACCGAACAGGAAGTCGTCACATTGTTTATTTTTCAAGTTATTGTGCTCACTACACAGATGGACGGACAGAGGACATTTCCAATCCCCCCCTTTTTGCTGTGAGTGGGGACAAAAAGAGACTTCCTTCTGTCTAAAGGTCCAAACCCAGAGGACCGTGGGGCTCAAGTTCAGTTTGTTTGTTTGGTCTCAAATGAGGAGACGTCACCTGCAGTGAGAACACCGTCAGTACGTTGGAGTTGGTGCTTTGTGTGCACGTGTGCTGGATGATCTGTGGGGACAGAAATGAATGAAGCAGAAGCCCAGAATAAAAAGACGAGAGTTGGACAGATGGCGGCAGCTGCAGAGAACCAGGACACACGTTGACATTTGAGTCGAACCTGTAACAGTGGAGCAGTGGAGCAGTGGAGCAGTGGAGCAGCGGGCGGTGTCCTACATCCACAACATCTCGCTCTGAATGTCCAGCCGCTCTGTTTCTGAGATTCCCACTAGAAACTGTTTGAGGGGAGGACAACCCTTCCAGCTGCAGGCAGCACATCTGGAAACAGCTTCTGTCAGGTTGTGGTGCGTGTCCGACCCGGACCTCCGGCGTGCAGTCGGTGTTCTGGTTGCACAAAGGTCATCTGCTCATTCAGCCTGCCTGCTCGTAAAACGCTTTGATTTTCTGTCAGTCCCCGTTTCCCTCAGAGGACTGGGAGCTGTGGGACCAGCAACATTAATCAGCAACTTCCAGATCGAGAGGAGGAACGGTTCAAGTGTTCATGAGCCGAACTACAATCCACCTTTGAAGCTTTCTGATGTAATTTCTATCCCTACATGTCCAATCTGACCCGGCATGTTCCATCTGTCTCTACATGTCCCATCTGTCTCTACATGTTCAATTCAATTCAGTTTATTTATATAGCGCCAAATCACAACAAAGTTGTCTCAGGACACTTTACAGGAACATTCACAGACATAAAAGCCAGTTAGTAAAGTTCTCTATCTAAGGAATGTGTTCTCGCTGTCCCTACATGTCCCATCTGTCCTTCCATGTCCCATCTGTCTTTAAGTGTCCCATCTGTCTCTAAATGTCCAATATTTCCTTATGTCCAATCTGACCCACCATGTTCCATCTGTCTTTACATGTCCCATAAGTCTCAACATGTCCAATCTATCCCTACATGTCCTATTTACATGTCCCATCTGTCCCTATGTCCTTTTCTGTCCCTATATGTCCAATCTGACCTGGCATGTTCCAGCTGTCTCTAGATGTCCCATCTGTCCCTACATGTCCCTGCTGTTCCTACATGTCCCATCTGTCTCTACATGTTCTCGCTGTCCCTACATGTTTCATTTGTCTCTATATGTCTCATCTGTCCCTACATGTCCACGCTGTCCCTACATGTCTCATCCGTCTGTACATGTCCAATCTTTCCCTATGTCCTTTTCTGTCCCTACATGTCCAATCTGACCCAGCATGTTTCATCTGTCTCCACATGTCCCACCTGTCTCCACATGCCCCACCTGTCTCCACATGCCCCACCTGTCTCCACATGTCCTACCTGTCTCCACATGTCCCATCTGTCCCAACAAGTCCAATCCATCTGTTTTTAATCAGCAATAAGCTAAAATATATTTCTTCACCTGTTTCTCTTATATTTCTTTATTTCTGGTCATTGTCTTTCAAATATTCAGTTTCCTACGTATGAGAATTGTTTCATGTTGATTTTTATCTGATTCCAGATCATTTTCTGTTTCAACTGAGCAACAAGCAGCTGAACTTTCTGATCGATTTCACCCACAGAGTCATTATCGTGTCCGAGCTGAGGCTGCCGTATCGGCTCCCATCAGAGGTCCCATTACCTCTGTTATTGTCTGACGCGACATCTTGAAGAGTCCACGCCCTGCGGGACACATCCCTCACTCCGAGCGATCCGATCCAGCCCAGCCGAAGCCTGAAGCGGAAGATAAGGAGCTCCGGCAGCGAGATAAGAGACCCCTCCAAACTGAAAGCAGCTGAAAGGTAAAGACACATTTCTCCAGGCGTTCAGAGACGAGCGCCGATACGCGCCTCAAACCTGTTCCATTGTTCCCTACTTCCTGTTCTGGTGCACGGCCAAGGCCTTCCTTTTGTTTTCAGTAAACGACTTTTAGAAATGCACACGGGGAAAGCAGGCGGTCCAGCTGAGCACGAGCCAAAGGCTAATTTAGCAGCACAGAACGTGCCTCGCTGATTGCATTGCAACACCGGAGAAAAGCCAACAATCAGCAGAAAGGAAACGGTCCACGAAGAGCGTGCTGGAAACATCAAACACGCCATCTGCACGTGCCAGGCGGGGAACAAGGGGGTCAAAGGTCACACAGATATTTGCATACGAGGCAACAAACAAGAACGTCTTTGTGGATTTATCCATTGTTTTTCTCCAAAACAAAATCTAAGTCCAGGAAATTAAAACAAACTAGAGAAACTGAATTTCCTGTGAAGATGCAGAGTGAATGCTTATTGCAGAAGAACTTGCTGAGAAAGGTGAAATTAGCTATTAAAAAAAATGCCGAAATGTAGCTGAAATGGAAGAACAAGCTTAAATTAGCAGAAAAAACATTTTATGAAGTAGGTTTAAATAAGCAGAAATTAGCACAAAAATAAGGAAATTAACAAACAAAGTAGCTGAAAAGGCAGAAAGCAGCTTAAACTACCAGAAAGAAACAAAAAGAGCTGAAATTAGCTAAAAGTGTGGAATTAGCCAAAAAGCTAAATTTAGCGCAAAACAGCTAAATAGTAGCTGAAATAGCCAAAAAAGCTGAAACTAGCATAATTAAGCTGAAAGGAGTATAAAAAGCTGTAATTATCAGAAATAATTTAATTATGCTGAAATTAACAGAAATTACCACCAAAATAAAATCTTGAATTTATCTGAAAATAGCCGAAATTACCTAGGAAATGCTAAAAAGGTAGCAGAGTGGTTCTGTGAGGGCAGTAGTAGTAGTTTTTTATGTTTTTTAGTATGTTTTTAGTATTTTTGATGCATGCTTTGGTATTTCTTGTAGCTTTTTTTTTTTTTTTTTGCGAGTCGAGACGGTTCTTCTCGTCCTAAGCTTTTCATTCCATTGTTGACCTTGTGTTGATTTTGCATATGACCAATAATCCTAACCTGAGGTTGTATTTGTATCATGCTTGAGGTACTTTTCACCTATTTTTGACCTCTGTGTGCCTCTGGTTAGGGTTAAAGTTGATGTATCACTTTTTTATGTTCTTGCCTTCGGTTCCATGTGCTGCTTATAGAACTTACCCAGAATCCTCAGCTGCGTCACAGCTCCATGCAGGCCGAAGAACATCCAAAGTGGGCGGGAGTTGTCCACACACACCTGCATGCCCACGTTGGTGCCGTTGTGGCTGAGGATGACCTCACCCTCTTGGTTGACCAGAAAGCCCAGGATGTCGCTGCTCTGCAGCGGCGTCGGCACACGGCACACGGCCCAGAACTCCTTCCGGTCCACCAGAGCCTCCGGGTTGTAGGGCAGGTCGCTGGGTCGCAGGACTGCCGGGTCGCAGGACGTCACGCCATACGACAGGGAGCCCGAACGCACCGGGCTGGACTTGGTGACCTTGATGAAGACGGTCTCTCCGGTGCGCAGGGGCCGGTTGGTGAAGACCAGCGTGCGCTCCTCTCGTGCGTGCTCGGAGCGCGCCACCGTCTGCTCGTCCAGCGTCTTGATGTGAGCGCCGCGCAGCTGGTGGAAGTGCAGGTCGCTGTCCAGGGCGGAGGGCAGCAGGGAGGACTGCTGCGAGTTCAGGGAGTTCTGGGGGATGGGGCAGGTGGAGGAGGATGAGGCCGAGGCCAGGTGGAGGGTGTGGCGGTGGGAGTGGCTGTGGGCGGGGCCTCCATCCTCCTGCTGCAGGTTCAGGTCACACAGGCTGACGGACAGGCGAGAGTCATCCGCCTCGCGCCGCAGAGAGGAGGAGCGCACGGTGGTGAAGGAGCGTGGGCGCAGGCAGTCAGGGGGAACGATCTCACTGTCTGAAAAGAAAAGAATGGAAAGAAAAAGCGTTAGATGCGTTTTGATTCATAAACCACATGTAACATATTTGATTCTAATGACAGGAACACTTTGGAGGCCTGGAAATTTGTTTTCAGTGACATCTGGTCTGATTGCTAAACAAATCCAGACTAAAGTGGAGATGTTTACCCAGAATGCACTGCAGCAAACAGCTCCTCTCAGCTGTCAGCACGGTGGTGGAGGATTGATGGTTTGGGCTCCTGTCAGTCACTAAGTGGACCAGGAACTCCTCTGTAGACCAAAGGGTTCTGGAGTCCAACAGCTGAAGGCTAGACCAAACTGAGCCCAACAGGACCATGATCCAGAACCCAGCAGCTGATCTACAACAGAACGGGTCAGAAAGAGGTGGGACTGTCTATCTCCTGGGACTCTACAAGCCTCTGCAGCAGCTCTGAGACAAAGACAAGTCTCCCTTTGGGACAATAAACCACCCTCTATCTTATCTTCATCTTAGAGCGCCATAAGGTTTCAGCTACACCCCAACAAATTAGATTTGTTGCACTTCCTGTTCTGGTATCTCGGTCCACAGAGCCATTCCTATCCTTGTCTCTAATATCCGTCTGATAAACGACCCACAGGTCGCTCGCCTTGTAGCTGCTTTAAATAACAGCTCTTAATAATCTCCCCCGAGGCTTCAGCTGGTGTAAAATTAGCCCCCGGTCCCGACTGAGCTGCCTGTTTGGTGTCCTCACTCAGAGTCTGGACGGGACGGAATCATCTGGGTTGGACTGATGTCGGAACATGTTTGCTAGCAGGATGCTAAGTCAGAAGGACGGCAGTGAAACGGTTTTGAAGTGGTAAAAAGCGTGGCACAGAATAAAAAGATAGAGGTGTTGGTGGTGGTGGTGGGGGTGGGGGGGTGGCGACAACCTCTGAATGGTCAGGTCAGACCCAGACTATCTGACCTGGTCCTGAGAGTCTGGACTCCTCTTAGCCTCGTTATGAGCCCCGAGGGACGAGCTGGAAGCTGGAGCAAACAGAACTAGAAGGC